GGTCTGCAGGTTTTGGAGGACCTGAGGAGACCAGGTCTGCAGGTTTTGGAGGACCTGAGGAGACCAGGTCTGCAGGTTTTGGAGGACCTGAGGAGACCAGGTCTGCAGGTTTTGGAGGACCTGAGGAGACCAGGTCTGCAGGTTTTGGAGGACCTGAGGAGACCAGGTCTGCAGGTTTTAGAGGTCTTGTCTCATTGTGGACTGATGGAGGACTCTAGATGTTTACAGTTCTGGATGGGACCAGATTAAACCTGTAGATGTGTCAGCCAGAGGCTCTGATGCACCCCTATACCATTCTTAAAATTAGAGGAATGTATTTTAGTTGAAGCTAATTGGTCCCGCTAACGCTAACATGCTAAACGAGAAGCTAGTTTTACTATTAGCTGATTAGCATGTTCTGTTTTTATTTTACAAACATTAAACTTTATTTTAACAAATCCAGATTCCTTCTTGTTTAAACCGGAGAAATAAAACAAAAATAATTAATGTAAACGACTACAAACAAACAGCTTTTTCCCTCCATAACTCAGGCTTTTAATTTGAAACTCTATATTTTTAAGAGTGATGTAAAAACACGTCAGTTGTCACGATGACAGCCTCTTCCAGGCGTATTTATTCAGGTTTGAGTGAAACTACGAGCTCATCACGGCAGAACCGACTTCTCCGTCAATAACCAGAGGCTCGTCAGACCCCCCCCCCCCCACACACACACACACACACACACACACGCTGCCTTTTTCAGTCCTGTAATGAAAAATCTGTAATTAAAGAGTCACATTTATGTTTGGTAATCTCCTGCACCATTTCTGAGATTTCCTCCCTAATATCCAATCAGAGAGGTTTTCATTTGTGAAGCAGAATCTACATATTTGTGGTAAATGGGTATCATATTAAAAATAAGGCCCTGCAGGACTGTAAGTTACTCTTTAACCCCCCCCCCCCCCCCTTCATACTCTCCTCCCGACTTAAAAAGAACATTTTTTCTCTTCCAGTCCGGTTTAGAAAGGAGCATGGAGGAGGCCGTCGCTGAAGGGGACGTTGGAAAGGCGGAGGAGATGAGCGACAGACTCGCCACTCGAGAGGTACGTCGGGCCGATAACAGATCTTTGGGGGGTCCTCCCCGCTGTGACAAATCAGGCTAATGGATCCGTGGCCGTTTTCTGCCGCAAAGACAGAGAGGAAMAAAAAAAAAAAAAAAAAAAAAGGCGAGGCGCAGACATCCAGCCTTCAGTCCTGCAGCTCTTTTCCATTGAGTTAATGGAAAGCCCTCCCCTTAGTTTTGAAGTGCTGCAGTGTCTAAAGAACTTTTGGCTTTGCTTTTTAATGAAGGCTGCATCACTTTCAAGCCCACTGTTAAATCATTCTGCAGGTAGGAGTTTCATACCTTTGAAGTGTTCGCGTCCCTAAATGCACCGCCTGAAGTTTGGGAGCGAAGCGCCTCGGCGGGCGTCCAGGATCAAGTGGTTGGAAAGTAATTTAGCATAAAATGTCGCCCACACATACATGTGTAATTGGAGTTAAAAAGACACAGAGCCGCCGTGCTGCTTCTGGACGCCGGCGCCGCATCAAAGTCAAACTTTTATTTGTTTTACGACCGCGCGTCGAGACGCCAGAGCCCAGGTTTATTAATAAATTAAGATTTTAATAGAATCTGCCCAGAATAAAAACAGGTTTTTGTATCGAAGTTAAATTAATGAAATCATCTCATGATCAGAAATAAAAAAGTTGACCTCGAGGATAACGTCAGAGCATCAGTTTATTAACGACTCTCAGCTATTACCACCTCACGTTTCAGCTCTTTATCTCAAAAACTGGCTGAATTTCAGCTGTTTTTGTGTGTTAGCTAATGAGCGTTAGCTGTGGATGAGATGTTTAGCTAACACAGACAGACAAGCTGAGACCTTTCACCTTTAGGCTTCGTGCAGTAAAAACATGAAGAAACGAAAAATAACTATTTTAATCTAAAAACTACTCTTCATTCTTTTCAAATTAATATTTAGTCTTAATTTTTGCAAAAGTTCAAATAGACAAATTTATTTGTTGTATATGGAGCTAAAATGGGATCAAAATGTTTGTTTAAAAAATAATAATTTTAAAAAGTGAAAAAAAACTAAAACTGAAAAACAATCAAAACTACTTGTATCATTAGAGCAAATATATGGCATGTTGTTTTATCATATAATTAATAGCTATGGGAAGCCGTTGTATTGTATAGTAAAAATAATGTATACGGTTGTATCATATACTTAACTATGCATGGCAGGTCGTTTCATATAATTTAATAAGGCAGGCTGTTTTGTCATATTTAAAAATATGGCAGGCCATTTTGTCATATTTAAAAATGTGGCAGGTGGTTGTTTCATTTAATTTAAAGATAGGGCAGGGCTTTTTTAATTTATTAATATGGCAGTTTTTTTAATATCATTTACAAATATGGCAGGTGGTTGTTTCATGTAATTAAAGTATGGCAGGCCATTGTATCATATAATTACTAACAAGCCGTTGCATTGTATAGTAAAAATATACGGTTGTATCACGTTACTATGTATGGCAGGTCGTTTCATATAATTTAGTATGGCAGGCCGTTTTGTCATATTTAAAAATATGGCAGGTGGTTGTTTCATGTAATTAAAGTATGGCAGGCCTTTGTATCATATAATCAAAAATTATACAATTTTTTTTTGCTGTTTCAAAACTTATTTTTTCAGCTTCAAATGTTTTCTTTCTGTTTCAAAAGCAGTGTTTTGAACAAACTTTATCGCCTGAACTCAGCTCTATAGTTGGAGCTTCAAACCTGCCACGCCCCTAACCCTTACCTGTCGTCAGGTAACACCTGAATGTTTCAGCTCGTCAAACAAATGTTGATAACAAACCAAGATAATCTGACTGGAAACGAAACACTCATTAAATCAGTCCAGACCTGGTTCTAATCTTTGGTTCTGCGAGCTCTACGATAACTAATGAAGACTTCGGCTGCTGGGCTTCGGCTCATCGTCTGGATGCAGAACACATAGTTGCCTTCAGGGAGATTCATGTTGAGCACCAAATGGCTCCATATCATCACACTACCACCGCCGTGTCTGACTCTGGGTCTGGCTATTCCCTGGAACGTGGTGCTAGTTTCAGATGTAATGAGACCAGAAAATACTTTTGTGTCATCAGTTCTCAAAATATTTTCTCATCAAGATGTTTACTTGAGGATGAGCTGTTGTTTAGTGTTTAATTAGATTATCTTTGTTTTATTTGAAAAATTTATTATATAAATAAACAAAACTTTACTAAAAAAAAACACCTAATCAAACATAAATCTTACAGAAATGATGTTAATTCCTGGGAATCCTCCGTCTTGAGTTCATAATAAGAGTTTTTTTGTTTCTCTAATAAAAGCATGTTTATGGTCCCAAACAGACGTGGTTCTGCAGAACCAGACCCGTTTCCTTCTCCTCGCAGGCTCTTTGAACACGCAGGAGTTAAATGAAATCTGTTGTGAGTGGCACCTGCGCCGCTCTCTCCCAAAGCCTCTTAGAGCGCCGGTGGATTGGTTTTAGCCCGAGCCCAGGTTCTCCCCTGCCTTCCCGGGCTCCTCCCGCATTCTGCCAGAACCGTGATGGGCCGTGACAGCAGTTTGGCAGCGGCGGCTCATTGTCGAGCGTCAGCGACGACTTCACTTCAGGGGGAAGTAAGAAAGTGACCGAGGCGGTGGAAACCCTGGGAACTAAAGCGACGCAGAGTTAGTTTCCTCAGATTAAACCTCTGCAGCTGACCGTTTATTACAGAGGGTTTCTGAAACGAACAGCTGGAAAGAGACAAGAATAACGTACAGACTGACACAGATCTGGGTCCAAATTTGTACGTTTTTGTTGCATTTTTACCAGACATTTAAGAAGAAGGCGTTGATGCTTTAAAGTACCTGTGACGTGCATATCCTTCAAATACAAAAAGCCAAAGAAAACATCTTTATATTTAAGAAAGTTGGAACAATTCACAAGATTTTACCCATTTTGTCCTAAAACTGACATATTTTCTTTTGAACTTGGCTCAGCCAAAGTGAAACAGGAAGTGACATCAAAGGGGAAGTCTTTAACTTTCATAGTTTTATATTCAACTGATTGTAATTTTAATTGTCTTGGATGTTCATAGAAATGGATTTTACCAGCTTGTAGCCAAGATCCTGATGTTTCTGTAGATACCAAACATGTCTAAGGGTGTATTCAGACCAGGAAAGTCCTTTGGTCCAATTGTTTGGTCCGGACCAAAAATGGACTTTTGTTTTTTGTTTGGTGCAGTTTGCATTCACATTGTGCTTTTTTGCAAATGAACTATAACTTGTAAACAAAGCCATGAGGCCGACGATCATTGCTCCCATTGGACAAAAAAAGGATGGGGGCGGGACTGAGCCACAGATCCAGAAGAAAACAAGGAAGTCCTGCATGGTGCGGTTCTGATGTGCACATTTTTGCTGATAGTACAACTGCAATTTCATTTAAAATGTCAGAAGCAGCTAATTTAATGGTGGTTCTGTGATGATATTCTAATTTTGGAGCAGCATCAGTAAATGTGTCCCGCAACCCAAAGGAGACGAGRTGCTCTGCGTGTTCTGACCCACAACATGCTGCAGCTGAGCTGCCAACAGGAGACGAAGAAACGGGTGTTTTCAGTTTATTTAGCTCAGCAATGGTGGCCTGTGAAGTCCAAAAAGGTGCATGTTTAATGCAGTTGGTTCAGTTAGAGTCCGGTCTGGATTCACACCAGAAGAGAACTGAAGTGAACCGCACCAGAGTTCGTTTGGAAGCGGACCGAGACCACCTCGAAAAGCAGGTCTCAGTCCGGTTGTTTGATCCGCACCAGAGTTCGCATGAGTGTATTCACACCTGCAGAAAAGGTCCGGACCAACACTGGAAACGAACTCTGCTTCGTTTAAAGCGGAGCAAATTATCAGGTCTGAATACGACCTATGTTTAACTAAAATAACTTAGAGTAATTAAAGTAGAAAACCAGGGGTTTGGATTTAAGAGATGAATGAAGCAATTGGCGGGCCGAACTTTGGTCACTCGCTGGCCGAATGTGGCCCGTGGGCCGCCAGTTGAATAGCCCTGCAGTAAATCGTTCTGTTTGAACGACGATACGATTGTTCGTCCGGATCACAAGGTGTTGTGATTCTTTGTTTTTTATTTAGGAGGTTAGAAGATCCATGTTTTGGGACTCCTGGTCTGGAGGATCAGTTTCAGGGTTAACGAGAGCTTCTTTCCCACGGGTTCTTGAAAGTCCTTGAATGTTTTTTGGGGATTGAAGTTCGCTATTCGCACAATTGATTTTCATCATCTGTAAATAAATAAATAAATAATGAAAAAAAATCATACATTTGTTGTGGTGGATAACTCAGGATTACGGTAAACTGACGTGGCTTTCAACAAATAACGTGAGCCATAGTCATAGTTTTAGCCAATCAGAGCAGAGCAGGGCGGGTCTTTCAGAGCCCAGGTGAAGCACCACAGCTTCTCCTGTCCTCACCGAGCATCTGGACAGGTTCACATCCCAAACTGAGCTGCTGAACCTCCCAGGACATAATTACATGTCCATGAATTGTAGATATGAATGTAGGGTAAACTTTTAATCCACTTTATTTCATTGTTTCTGACTCAACAACTTCTATGTTGATTTGATTTGATTTATTTATTTAACAGGAAAAGATTATTAAAAATCAAGCCTGACTCAGCATAATTGCTGTTTTACAGCAGGTTCCTGTTCTGCAGCACACAAACACCCAGAACCACAGCATCACAATCACATCACTACACACCATAGACACAAAGACAAACAAGCATACCAAATTTCAGGAAGGCAGCGTTTGCAAAATAGGACGTCTAAATATGAACACAACAAAAAGTGTCCAGCAGATGGCAGACAAGATTCTTCTTAATGTTGTTTAGTTTTTCATTGGATTTAATGATATTAAACCTGTTTATTGGTAACATTCTTGCCATCACGCATGGTTCTTGAATTTGAGGAAATAGGTCCTGGAAGGTCCTTGAAAGGTCCTTGAATTTGATGTTGACCAAGTTGTGCGAACCCTGTTCTTTTG